GTGTGTGTGTGTGTGTGTGTGTGTGTGTGCTTCCCACGCATAATTAAACTAATGAAACTCCCAGCGTGAGACCTAACTGCTTGAATCGAGATGCTTGGTTATTCTGCACGATTAATTAATTTAAAATTGGCGCAGTTTTACATGCGCGTGCGGCCACTGAGCATGCGCATGTGGCCACAGGGCATGTTCGTAGTCGCCAGTAGTCGCTACAGCTCGTCGGTATGACAGGAATCATAACCTGATTCCTGTCAACTTTAACGTTTAATATCTCGCGTCGCGGGGCAGAGCGACACTTTTTTCTGCCAGATTCTTTCGTTTCGTACAAAAACGCGTCGATTGAGCATAATTACATCGAGATTTGAGGTGAGGCCCCTAAACTGAATAATTACCAAAAAAAAATATTTTTTGGAAGACACTTTCTGCTAATTATACGCTTAATTAATTTTAATTAATTGTGATTAGTGCATGGTTTTCCAAACTCTAAAAAGTTTTTTCCAAATATCTCCAAATGATTTCCAAACGATCGGATAAGATAATTTTCAATAATTTTTAATGTGTTTGCCAACTATACTTACGTCGATAGTTGTTCATACTTTTATGCAACACGTGCATGGAAAGTGCCCCATTACGCACGCTACGCGTGCGTGATAGACCACTTTCCAGGCACTTGCAACATAAAATAGGGAGTGTAAGCCGTGTGTAAAGATGAAAATTTCCGGGTGCGGAGTTTACGCACGAGCCGAAGGTGGGAATTTTCATCTTACCTCACTTGTTACACAAATAACTATTATATAACACGTGCGTGGAAAGTGGCCCGTTACGCGCGCGCCATCTGTGCGACAAATAGCCAATTCCACACCGAGAAATCCTCCGCTCGAAACGGTGCGGTAATGTTCTCATTCCGCCTTCGGCTCGTGCGTCCACTTCGCACCCGTGTCCAATTCTCAACTTCCCCTCCGTTCCCGCACTTGTTACATAATAGTTATTTGTGTAACAAGTGCGGGAAGGTGAGAATTGTTGGAAATTAATCTAAATTTTTTTTACCGTTAAACAATTTTTAAAAATTACGTCCAGCATATATGACACTTAGTGAAAAAGTTTTTTACATTTTTGTTAATTTTTTGAATGTGCCAACTTTACAGACGTTAAAAACATTCTGATCATTAGAACTAATAGCAAGAAGCGTTTACGAAATGTAAAGTTTGTTAGAAAGCAGAATAATTACTCGACATTTATCTCTTTACGTATGACACTATGATCATTTGGCAATTAAAAATAATCGCTTTCTTGTTCGAATGTATATAAAAAAATAAAATAGATTAAATGCAAATTTCTTAATTTTTTAACAAAGTTATCTTTATGACTACGATTGTGATAACAAAAGTCTAGATATATTTTTTGTATTTCAGTCTACGTTAGATCATAATCTATTTTTTTAATATACTTTACAGCTTATTCTTGAATATTAATATATTTATGGGTGATGATTTGTAGATGAGAGATACGACAAAGGGTTTCAAGTTAGTGTTTCCATAGACGGTATCACTGCTGATCGCAAGCCCGTGTCCGTACTACCCCCGGAAACTGGACATAATCGGTAAAAATGCAATAGAAATGCTCTTGTGGTTCTCTCGATAATTAATTAAAGTTGAACGAAACAAAATTAATTCTATAAAAAATTTTTTTATTGTAATACATCTATTGTTTTAACAACATACAATGAATTATACTATTAAGAAAACCGGAGTTTATATCACATTGTTGAAATGCATAAATTAATACAGATAAATCTCTTATGATCGAGTAATAATATGTGAAATAATGACCATTATTTTCCAGAACCAGACATTTGAAATGTGAAAGGCAATCCTGCGAGGAACTAGTCGTCGCCCACCTCGGATTCCTTGATTATAGCTACTACATAATCACTGTCCGCTTCCATGGACTTGAAAGCTTCCATCAGCGATACACTATACGAGAACTCACATTCTACGTCAGTAAGCACTGCATGAAATATGATCATACTCGTTTGGACAAGACATTACCTCATCTTTTTCTTTACGTTTCTCCTATTTTTTCCTGTTCACAGTTTAAGAACTACAATCCGGCGTTCACGCAGATCGAAATCTGGTTCCGACTGATCTTCTTATTGACCACGTTCGGAGTGATGGTAATTCACTGTTACAATGGCATAAAAGATAGACGAGTTAAAACAAGTCGAAGACTATTTGTTTCTGCGAAATTGTGCCGACGATATAAATGATGATCGACGTTAAAGATTGGTTTTGAAACAATGCGCAATTTTATCTTTCTATTATATTACTTTGCAAGTAAATATAACGCAAAACTAAAATAAATTCAGTTTAACTCTTTACTCTTTATTGCATCGTGTTGTTTTTGAGTAACAAACTGAACAATAAATATATTTTGCATTAACTAAATTTGACATTTAAAACATTCAAAAAGACACTATAATATATATTGTGTGTGTATATATATATATATATATATATATATAATATAATAGTGCACACCTAAGGTAAATCTGTTAATACAAAATGGCTTTTATAGTTACAATTAATTTAAATGCAGCTATGGAACCTTTAAACATTTGTCTATAAGTATGTGAACTCATACTTGATAATAATTTTGTTGTTAAATATTTATTGAGCGATGTTTAGGACGATGCAAAGTCGAGCAAAAATTAAAGAGGCGGGTAATAGTGCGCAGTTTGAACATTGGCAAAATTTGTGTCTGCAGCGGATAAATTTTGAACTTTTTTACTTAAATTATTAGTTTTAAGTATAGTTAATGTGAGTGATGATAAATAATTGAAAATTAAATGCAAAACTTTAAAAATCGAGGGATATTTAAAAAAAATTTTTTTTTGCGAGTAGAACTGACTTATTAATTCGATTGAATTGACTAATTAATTCGACACGTAAATATATATAAATTTAAATATAAATAAACTATATATATATAAAATCGACATAAATAAAGCCGTGCATTATTCCCCGATTTGTCATTCCGAAACAATTTTGTCAATTACTAGCGAACCGCAAATGAAATTATGGGACCAACGCGGCAAAAGGTTCCCAAGGGATCGTATTTCACTATGTTATACCAATTACAGTAGCAAATAAAAATTGCCCACTTACGAGCTTAACTCCTGTCGTTTCAAAATAATAAGAAAACGGGTGCGTTTTCTTTTTCGCTTCCTGCGTTCAAACGAAGCTTTAAGCTGGGATAAAGCGTATATTTTTTATCTAGAATTGACGTAAGCTTTGAAAATTTGTCACTTACATGTCGTCAGCTATCGTCACAGTTTCAAACTTGAGGTGCGCACTATTACCTACTGCGTCGTATTCTCCTACTTTCCCCTATATAATATGACTGAAACATTCATTTTTTAATTAATGATTAAGAGAGAAGTTTATCATTCAGCTAATCTCCGATCTCGATGATCAGAAACTCGTAACTTCGCAAAATAAAATATTGCAATGATTGCTTTTTAACTCGGCCCGTTTTTTTTCCGCGGATATTTAAATAATGTTCTAGAAATCGAAAGAAAAATTGTATCGCTTTCAGTGCTGGTTCGGCCATTCGCTTAGAAAGTATCCGCTGCATGATTGGTCAATAGAACAAAAGTGGATCTCTATACTTCTTCCATTACTGATTCTGTACAATAGTAAGTTTTCGAGATTCTGACATTTTTCACCAATACGCATTTTCGTGATTTTCGACATTTTATTGATGAGCTTACTCTATTGAACAGATCCGCTGTTCCCCATGATCTTCTTGATAAACTCTTGGGTACCCGGTATGCTGGATGCAATTCTGCAAACAACTTTCCTATGTGCTATCCTCATGTTCTGGCTCTGTGTCTATCATGGTCTTAGACAGGTACTCTGATATCGTCAAAAACTGAGAAACATTGATAATCCTGATGCGCAAGGCTTAGAGAATTAAATTAATTAGTTAATTCATACATTATTTACATATTTATCGTTCGTAAGTTCGCGAGTCACGTTTTTATTAAGGAAGTAAAATATGAGTTTGTAGTATAGCTTCATATTTCTACTATTACTTTTAAATATATTTCAGTGATAATTTAAAAATCATTATACCTCAATAGGAAAATTGCGCAAATATTGTATAATAATTGTATCATTTAATTGAAGGAATTTCACAGTTATTGTGCTAAGATAATTCCTCGTAACGCAGCGTTCTTGCTGGCATTAAATTTCTGAATAATATTTGCACAAAAATTAAGAAATTCAATTTTATGTTTAATTAAATTTTACACAATTGGTTCGACATTTAGAAGCAAAATATCACTTCAGCACACTTCAGCAAACACCGATAACAGTTACATAGAACATTCATTATATTTTACGTACGAGAAAGGATGCCATCTATCGGCGACCTAGCGAACACAGAATATGCTACGTAATACAAAAATAACACATAATAAAATTCAAATATATTTTTCAATTATTTCGTAATTATTTCGTAATTTCTTTCCAATTTTGCGATTATTCCGCTAAGACAGTTCGTCCATATCGCTGCTGTCTTGCTGAAATACTATTTAGAAATAAACTGTGCAAATATTTATCAATATTTGCACAAAGATCTAAATTTCTATTAGTGTTGCTGCAAATATTGAGGCATAATTGCAGCATTCCCAATTTCATCCAGATTTCGTCATATGATGTTATGAATATTTTTCTATCGGAAAGTAAATATACAATTAGAGTACACTTTATTTCAAAATAAAAATCTTATATTCTGTTAGCTTACAATTTCATAATGTATTATATTAATTATGCTTATCGATCATTATGATCATACACATATACGTACACATGCGCGCGCGTGCGCGCGCACACACATTCTAATTGACAATTTGTTTATTTTATTTAGAACGAGAGACGGCTTATCACGTTTTATCTGCCCAAGCTCTTAGTTGTGGGTATGTTATGGGGTGCAGCATTGACTCTCGCCACATGGCTTCGTTGCACCGAGTTGGAGGATCCTACTTATAATTATGTTCTCGATACATCGAATTACTACGTAAGTTGAACTCGTGCTTATTAATACAGATTATTACAATAGAATATTCATTCATTTATAGGCTATTACAAGGAATGTTAATGTTACGAAGAATATTAGGACTATTATATTAGTCTATTAATTATATCTAAAAAATGACTTGTTATTTTATTCATCCTTTTTTTAAGAAACACATATAGGTCGTAGTCGAAATCTTTTGTGTTTTCAAAACTTTAGGGGTTAATTTATAATGCAATACGCAATACGCCACGTTTTTCCTCATGATCTCAACAACTCCGACAATTCGAATTGTAAGGCCAATCGCATATTTTAAGATGTGAATCGAAGTAAAGTCCGGTGGGACACATCTGTGACTGAGGCGTTCCCCAATTGCACTGATAGAAACAATCGCACAGGAAGGAATGCGGCAATAACAGCGGTCCCGGATAATGAATCGGACATCGTGGAAACGGCCACGGACAGTCGATCCAGGACGAGTCGCAATAACCGGCTTGCCAGGGCCAGTTGTACACCTGAAGAACGCGGGATTGAAATGCAACTTTTCTGAGCACTCAAAGAACATCGGCACGCCCCAGTCGCATTTGTAGAACTGAATTGTTATAAAATTACGTTCTTTATATATGTATATGAGAAAATACTCAGAGTGTCACCCAGTTTTTTATACTATTAAGAAGGAAAAGTAAACTAAACTTATAGAAAATCAGGACATCAATAATTAGTATAATCGAAAATGAAAAAGTTCAATTATCGATTCCATACAATTTACTTGCTTCTTCTTTTCCGCGAAGAAACTTACCAAGCTGCAGTTAGTCAAATGAGGCAGCAACACCTGATGTTCGTGGTGCGCGAGTCTGGCGCATGGGTTTTCCTCTTCCGTCTCAGTTGCGCTCAGATTTCTCACAACGTTGACCTTGAGCTTCACTTCGCCCTGGCCTCAGGGTCGTCTTAAATTCGTGTACCTGGTAACCTCGATTGCGGTTCTCGTAATTTATCAGATCTTCCGGCGGATACGAGAGTTGCATTGTGCAGCTTACTTGCAGTGGCTTTGGTTCGCTGTATTTCGCAATGTCTTGTCGCAATTTCACCGGACAGTCGACAATCGTGTACAATCCGCTGATCCTTAGCGAAGCTTGTAGTATAATAATGTCGATCGCTGATTGAGTAAACAGCTATTTATTCGTTGATACAAGTGATTCATTTCGTTAATGAAGCAATCGAACGGGACAGCAATATAAGCCATTTCCTTCATTTAATTCTCTACAGAGGAAAAGAGAATATATTATACTTATTGACAAATATACATGACTATTTTTTTCTCACAAATTTTTTTAATTTATCAAAAATTTCTAAAATTAACTTGAAGTATTAGGTATCTAAATCTTGCATAAATTATAAAACAGGTAAATTTATTTCTATTAACTCTTGTCAAGATTAAGGCTCATGCACAATGAGAGGAATAAAAAACAAGGACCGTCAAGACACGGTCTTGAAAAAAAGATGTGACTATGAATTCTCTCTATGTTTAATTCCTTGTTCCTTATTCCTTTCATTGTGCATAAGCCCTTATAATTTTACTCGATTAGAATATATATCCTTATTTACTATTGTACCAATCTTTTCTCAAAGAAAAGATTGAGAAAAAGTTGAGTTGTTAGTACTAACCGAATTGTTCATGTTCACAGATCAGTAAACCAAAGATAATTTTATTGTAGCTATTGTAGGATCGAACGTCTTAAATCTATTGTTTCCGCACGTTCGTTGCAACTCTTTTTTTTTGCACACACAGATTCAATCGCGATCCGATATTGATATAGATAATTTCTCAACAGCTAGTGCTTCTGTCATGCTGTACTTGAAGATTACCAGTTCTCGATCTTAATTTGGCGTCGTATCGAAAGTGGTATAGAGATCGAAACTTAGTCTCTATCAAAGAAGAGTAGCAAAAAGATGTGACATCGCGATAGAGAAACGATCAATATGCGATTACTTATAAGATATATAAGAAATAGATATATGAGAGACATATTAAATATCTGTACTTGTTAACACACTGCATACACAGACATCTGTTTCTAGGGCTTCAAGGTATTCTTCTTCACGGTGGGTGGTTTCTACATCGCATATCTATTGCTTCTTATATTAAAAGCATACAGCGAACTACGATCTATGCCATACTTTGGTAAATATATTTTTTAATCCGTGCTTAAGGCCGTTATTTAATAAAAATATATTTAATTATAATTTTGTATAATCTATATCTTGAATTTTATTATAAATGAACAATTTATATAGACATAAGAAATATTTGAAAATTGAGCATTAAATTACAGTTTTATCAAGAAAAATATCTTGTGGTGAATACCTTATAATTTAAATTGAAACCGATAGATGGTATTCGATGTGATCTGTTTCTCGTATTTAAAATTTAACAAACAGTGTTATAAGAATGCCATCAAAAGACACGACTGTCACGCGCTATTCTCGCGCGACACTGTCTCGGAGCGACACAATTTTTGTATCAGTTATATCGTGGAGTCTACTTTTATAATAAAGTGACACGCTTAAAAAATAACATTTGAAAATATATAACAATTTTCTAAAACTTATTTAAATATATATGTCCTTATATATAATCTTATATAATCATATATGACCATATAAACTCTTATCAGGCCAAAATTCATATATAATAAGATCGCTTCTTATATGAGCATATAAGACATTATAAGAGATATTTTTTATATTTTCTTCTTCTTCTTCTCTAGCCTGTTTTCATCCACTCCTGGACATAGGCCTCTTCCACTTCCTTCCATGTCTTTCTCTCCTGTGCTGTCTGCATCCACCTCTTTCCTGCGTGGCGTTAGATATCATCTCGCCATCTCGTCTGTGGTCGGCCAATGCTTCTTTTGGACTCTCTTGGTTTCCATTGCATCAGGACTTTGGTCCATTTGGTGTTGCTTCTCGCAACATGTCCCGCTCATTGCCACTTTTGTCCACTTGCTCGTTCAACCACGTCGGCAACTCCTGTTCTTCTCCTTATCTCTTCGTTTCGGATTTTATCCCTCAGGTTGATTTTCAGCATTGCTCGCTCCATATATGACACTGTCATATATGATTATATGAGATTATATAAGGTCATATAAAAAATATCTCTTATTGTGTGTTATATGCTATAAGAAGCTATCTTATCATATATGAATTTTGGCCTGATAAGAGTTTATATGGTCATATATGATTATATAAGATTATAATTATATATAAGGACATATATCCCTGGAAAAAAAACCTTTTATTTATTTATATTAGTTTATATTAGTAGAAATATGATTATATATGATCATATAAGAACTGGAAAATATAATCTTAAACAATATTATATGGCCATATATAACCATATATGATTATATACTCGGGAAAAAATACCTCTTATTTGTTCATATTAGTAAATATATAATTATATATGGTCATATAAGAAATGGAAATATAATCTTGAACAATATTATATGCGGCTAAATCTCTTTAAGTACAACTGTATATAGTCATGTATGGTTTCATATACTAGTATATTATCATGTGTGATCATGTAAAAGTATATTTATAAGGTTAAAAATAATCATATATGAATATGTATATACTCTATAATGGATCTATCCATATAAATTTCTATAACTATTATAAATATTCTTCTAGTATATTATTTTACTTGACAATATCAAATTAATATAAAATATATTATTTTTAGTTTCAGTTTACACAATTGCACATTTGTAAGTTCGACAAAGTCCATATTGGCACGCAGTGCCAATTTAAAAAACTGTAACATGTATTTAATAATGATTGATATTGTGAAATATTATTAAGCATCAAGATCCGCTTCGACCGAAAACGGCACTTCTTATTGCTTATATGTTATTTTAAATTTTTTTTTCTAATTTTGCATAGATACTTAATTTTTTTAATTGACATTAATTTTTATTAAATATTTTCGTAAACAGTGAAATTACCAGTAATAATTCGTGAAAAAACTGTTATATAATATATATTATAGTTCTTATAAACAAATATATTAATCGTATTATTTTGCAAACATACCTTATAATTTAAACTGAAAATAATATAATCGTATATGAAATGATATAGTCATATAAGATTATATATGATCAGATCAGAATATTGCATCTCAAAGTATCCGATAGATGGCATTCGATGTGATCTGTTTCTCGTATTTAAAATTTGACAAACAGTGTTATAAGAACGGCATCAAAAAGACACGACACTGTCTCGCGCTATTCTCGCGCTGTCTCGGAGTGACACAATTTTTGTATCAATATAAGGGTTTTTTTTCCCGGGTTATATCTTTGAGTGAAGATTTACAATTACCACTTGATGATAAGCGTGCGGTTTACTTTGCAGATTTACGTCTGCGGTTTTTGACCCTGCTTGCTGCGGTGGTCGCCGGCGTTTGCAGTTTGGTCACCGCACGTCAATTCGGAGCCGGTGTATTGGAGGACAGCTTCGCTTCTCGTCTTTCTACTTATTACCGCACGTCCGCGCAGTTCATGGCTCTTTATGGTCTCCTCAATTTTTATTTATACACCATGGCATACGTTTACGCGCCTGCGCTTCAACAGGTCTATGGGCAACGTGAGTGTGTCTCCGAAAACAATTATTATACTCCATAATTTTCGATACAACACTTACTCATTTATAGCGATAAACTTGAAGAGCAATAATCTTACAAAATATAAAAAGGTAGTAAAAATCAGAAACAACTTAAAAAGTAAAAAGATTTGTTACATAATTTATTGAAAAAAATACGAAGGAAGATTCTCCTGTACATCGTTAATATAATTTATGAAAATAATACTTGTAATATTTTCTATTGTTATTGAACCATGGAAACCCCGACAATAATTTATAATCACCCTATATATTCTATTATTTATGTGTCTAGAACATAATTTTTTTGTTACATTTATTGCAGACTCATCGATAACGAAAGATAGCCCTGCGTTTTCGATGTTCAATGATTCTGAGGAGGAAGTAATATACGGATCGGACGAGGATAGTCGGCGACCACTAACTCGTACTCCACGAAACGCAGAGGACAGTGACTGAGGGCCTTAAAAAAAACAATTTCATACTTTGTGCTAATCGAAACATAGATCGTTAAATGGAAAAAAACAATGAGAAAACTTTTGATTCATGTTTCTACTGTGATTCGCAGTCATACTGCCATCACATTAAAAGTTGAAAAAAACTAATTAACTAAAAATTCGTGTAAGTAGTTTGTTGAAGAATCAAATGTTAATTGTAAATGTAAACGAAGACTTTGTATCATGTTTACGCAAGCTTCAAGAAAGATGCATACTGTACATAAATTACAAATATATACTGATAATGTGAATTTATGTATTATTGCATTGTGTAGAGTAGGTAGTCCAACAATGAACCATGTAAATTTCAGAGGCTTATATCTCTCTCAATTATTGAGTTGGAGATCTATGTTTTTGCATACAGTTTATGAATTTGGTTGGCTACATACTGTATAAGATGACTTATAAGTTATTTTTAAAGTTTAGCCACAATTTCGATTTTTTTAAAACAATGTCAAATGGTTCATTGTGTACAGGGGTGTGTACCACACACAATAAACCTAGCTATTTTTAACAATAAACCACATGTTTTATACTGTAAATTTTTAGTGTTATTTTAATTAATTTTACTATGTTTTAAAATGTTTATTTAGGGAAGAGATAATTATAACACAGATAACTGTAGTAAAAAACAAAATGGTTAATTGTAGACCATATAACATTTTTTACGATAATCTAAAAAAAATATGGTAAAATAATTTGCTTACAGAATTATAATAAAGCTAAATATACACAAAATTATAGAATAATGAAAAAAATAATAGATATAACAACAACAACATGAAAAATACGTAAAACTTACGAAAAAAACTTGGTTTGTCACCCAAAAATTACAAAATGTGGCCTCAAACGGCCGTCCTTCGCGCGATTTGTCGGCCGATTGAAGAGCCGAGGGCGTCAAATGCGAGTCGTTGCATGACAACAAGCACAATCTAGCAACATTACATTTATGAAATGTCGCAAAAGTATACTACTGGTTCATTGATGAACTACCTACCCTATAGAAGCAATGTAAGAACTGAAAGAGGAAGATATGAACGGAAATATGATAGAAAGAAATAGAAAAAATAGAAAAAAGAACGAATTTTATAAATTTTTAAAATGATAGCTAATTTGGAGAATAACGTAGGAACAAATTCCTATTGATCTCTTTCGACTTATCTACTTTTACGGCAAAATTAGGGTGACGAAAAGTTATTAAAATACAAATGAATAAAACAACAATAAAATATGATGAAGTTTCGTTTCACGCAATATTGAATTTTGTGCATTCATTTATTTACAATTTTAAAATTATATTTGAAATTTTATTCATTTATTTTAACGTTATTATAACATTTATCAAGAGACACGGTAGTGTCTCGCGCCAAGTACACGCGGAGCGAGACCGACCGTGACTCTTTTACGCGACGCGACGGGTTGCGAGTACCCGAGATGTTGAGATCTCGATAACGAGTGAACGGATCAAGTTCTAAGTAGGCTTGATCGATAGCTTGGGGTCCAATTAGGGGGGGGGGTTTCTCTTATAATATTCCGCTCCGTGCCCTACGAGCGGAGATATTGCGACGCAAAGTCCAAATGTGAAAATTTTTTATTAAGATACTTCTTCTTCTTCTTCTTCTTCTACTTCTAACGCCGACGTTATATGATGACGTCATAATCAGAAACGTTACTTTCACTTTTTCGACGCTGGCGGCGCAGGTATCGCCAGTTTCGATATCGCGCGCGTATTTCGAAATTAGGTCGATAGACTTATCGGTCAGGAGGAAGATTTCTATTTAGGTAAATTAGGTATATACTTATATAATATATATTGAGTCAATTGCTTCATGTTTATCTGGAGAGATTTCGTATCCTTACATCGTATTACCACCGCTGCCGGAAAAGAAGGTTCTCTACGCTTGGCAGAAAGTGCCGCTAGGGAATTTTTAAGTCGATTCTTATGAATCAAGCTTGAATTCGATGTCTAGGTATCCCAGGTTGCCGATGACGAGGTCCAGATAGTGCGCTTCATAGTTTTCGGTGTCCAGGTGTAATAATACGTTGAATTCGATGTCTACGTGTCCCAGGTTGCCGATGACGAGGTCCACATAGTGCACTCCGTAGTTTTCGGTGTCCAGGTGTAATAATACGTTGAAATCAATGTCTACGTGTCCCAGGTTGCCGATGACGAGGTCCACATAGTGCGCTCCGTAGTTTTCGGTGTCTACGTGTATTAATACCTTGAATTCGATGTCTAGGTGTCCCAGGTTGTCGATGACGAGGTCCACATAGTGCGCTTCGTAGTTTTCGGTGTCTACGTGTATTAATACCTTGAATTCGATGTCCACGTGTCCCAAGTTGCCGATGACGGGATCCAGATAGTGCGCTTCATAATTTTCGGTGTCCAGGTGTAATCGTACGTTGAATTCGATGTCTAGGTGTCCCAGGTTGGCGATGACGAGGTCCACATAGTGCGCTTCGTAGTTTTCGGTGTCCAGGTGTAATAATACGTTGAATGCAATGTCTAGGTGTCCCAGGTTGCCGATGACAATGTCTAGATAGTAAGCTTCGTAGTTTTCGGTGTCTACATGTATTAATACCTTGAATTCGATGTCTAGGTGTCCCAGGTTGCCGATGACGAAATCCATATAGTGCGCTCCGTAGTTGTCGGTGTCTACGTGTATTAATATCTTGAAATTGATGTCTAGGTGTCTCAGGTTGCTGATGACGGGTTCCAGATAGTGCGCTCTATAGTTTTCGGTGTCCAGGTGTAATAATACGTTGAATTCGATTAGGGAGGGGGGTTTCTTTTATAATATTCCGCTCTGTGCCCTACGAGCGGAGATATTGCGACGCAAAGTCCAAATGTGAAAATTTTTTATTAAAATACTTCTTCTTTTATCTACTTCTAACGCCGACGTCTTATATGACCTTTTTCAAAAAAAAGGTAAAAAAATGCGCCAAGTACACGCATAATAGTATATATGTATTATGTTGTTACCTCGAAAAAAACAAAGTGGTAGTATTATACCTCGAAATAACACCCTGTACATATTGTTTATACAATGCGTAATACTACAAAAAGGCGTGATATCTGTACAAAATTACCTTTTTTAAAAAAAAGGTAAAGAAAGGCGCCAAGTACACGCATAGTAGTGTATATGTTGTTACCTCAAAAAAAAAAAAAAAAAACAATGGTAGTATTATACCTTAAAAAAATCTAAGTAACAAGTGGTAGACGAAATCTTTGTATCTTGAAAAATCTCGAAAAAACCTAAACAGTAGTATCTTCATCTCGAAAAAAAAACAAAGTATTAGTATTATGCCTCGAAAAAACCTAAGCAGTATTATTTTTATTTCCAAAAAATTATTACTCAAGTGATACACATCACAAAATTACGTTACCTTGTCAAAAAATGAGTCGCGCTTCAAGTGATCTATTATTACAATTACAAAAAAGAAATGATATCTCTTTTTAAATTACAGCGCCAAT